ACAGGTGTATGATGGCATCGTCAACTCCAACTCCACGACGATAAACAAACTGCAGGGGGTCCTGATGTGTGCTTGTTTGCTTACTCAGGTAGGTCAACAGGAGTCTCTCTAGGACCTAAGGACCTTTTAGGAGTTTTTACCTCACCTTAGTTCTGTGAAGTGCTTTAACCAGTTTTCATTTATTCATGCTTATGACTGCAAATGTGTGAGAGAAAAACAAAAAAATTGAAACAATATAAAGTGTCAACCCATARCCAATAATATGAGGAGGTGCAGACGTTTCTGTGCTTGGTGGCTGACAACAGAATTCAGACAGAGTTGAACCTAATGGACTCAATTTTACAGATCAGACTGGTGGCATCAACTAAAACAGAGAAATGTGGAAGAGGATGGGGACTATAATCTGTTTTTATTTCACTTTGGTTTTATTTTTATTTGGTTTATTTATCCGTCACAGTGCCGTGTTTGCCTTGGATAGACGCTTAAGGCAGAACTTAAATTATATTAAAATAGTGGCACGGCACACACGCAAACGCAAAAATTTAGCTTTGCTAACTATAGATCCGCTAACTCAGATTTCAGCTTTGCAAAAGACCCAACAACTAAACAGGTAAGAAAACTGGAAGCTAACACTAACAGCTAACCAATGGCTTGTCATTTAGACCTGTGGTATCTACAGAAACTGCAGTCTTGGTTAAAAAACAGCTCCTGAAAACATTTCTACATCCACCAAACACAGTTACAACCATAAGCACTCCATCTGCTTCACACATCTTTGTCTCCTTGCAGTTGAAGAGTAATGCAGGTGGACACACAAAATGTTAATAATGCTACACACAGGCAAACAGTGCTGCTTGTGTGATGGGATAGATTGTGTTTTTGTACATAAAGTTAGCAGAACTTAATTTAGCAGAAGAAAATTGCTGAGCTAACGGCCTTCAAAATTAGCTCCACTGTTAGTTGTTAGCACATTAGTATGGTGAGACGATGGAAAAAACTACCATAATGAATGTCCTGATGCATCTCAGTAATCCAGGTAAAAAATCAAAAAGAAAAAAATTGTATAGGTCCTCTGGACGGGTTCTTCTCTAATGAAACGTT